AGCAAAGGAAATTAGTATTTACTTCCTATGCTCTGCAGCTCCATCTAGTGGCCATAGTGCAGTATTACATTACATTTGACCGAAAAAGAAAGTATACTAAGAATGTTCCTTTTTACCTCTATTCGCAACAGAGTAAAAACAGCCAATTCGATGAAGGAAGGACAGCCGTCCTTCCTTCATCGGGGCTTGTGAGTTGCTTTTTTAATTGAATCCCTTTGGGAAAATTTGGATTCAGGTTACCTACTGACAGTAGTCCGCACCACAGGATTGGAGTTTCAACATGTGACCGCAATCTCACATACGCTGAAACTGGAGATTGTGGTCACATACGCTGCCTCTGTTGCACCAAAATCCTGACCAGAGTTGTCAGCACTGCGTAGTTTTTCTCTGATGGACTACAGAACACCTTGTGGGATAGGAATGATGAAGAGGGGGGAAGTGTCTTGTAGTCCATCAGAGGAGAACAGGGCAGACCTGACACCATTACTTGGGATTTCAGAAACAGAGATTTATTAAAAAAATGTTTGGCCAGACATTCACTTTAATCATCCCATGTCAAACAAAAGTATCCATAAGTCTAAAAATATAGTTTATCACAATTTCCATGGAATGACATTATTCGCTGATACGGATACCAGTATTGGCAGAGCCGTAGCTAGCTCTTTTTGCGCCCGAGGCAAGAACAGAAAATTGTGCCTCCACCGAAAATAGACGTGTGCGGTATGTGACATCATGTGCCCCGCGTCCAGGATGGCGGCACGCATGTGCCTCTGCCCATACAGGTGGGGGAGAGCAGCGGGGAGCCGAAGAGAAGCTGGAGCCTGTGCCGCTCCTCTTCTCCCTGCCAAGCCGCGGCTGTGTTGGCCGCCTGGCACCCCTGTGTTTGCCGGCGGTACAGGGGAGAGGGGGCAAAGCCAGGCCGGCCCTGGCTGTGCCCCCTCTCAGTTGCGCCTGAGGCGAGTGCCCCATGGTAGCTACAGCCCTGGGTATTGGTGCCGATACCGAGTACTTAGGCGAGTCCACGTATTTGCCAAAATGCTCCGATACCTTCCCCGACACTGGAACTCCCGGGCAGGGGGAGATCTCCCTCTAACTAGCAGTGCCGAGGGAGCATGGAGCCAGCTTCCTTTCCAATCAGGAAGCTGGGAGGCTGGTTATGATATGTTGCCTCGCTTCCTCATTGGCTAGGAAGCCAGCTTCACTTGCTGATAGGCAGCCTGGCTTCCTGACCAATCAGGAAGCCAGGCAGCACCGCATGACCCGCCGCCCGGCTTCCTGGATTGGCCAGGAAGCCAGGCAGCCTCAGGAAGTGAAGCGGATGTTCTTTTGATAGAACACCGGCTTCCCGGGCAATCAGGAAGCCGGGCGGTGGGTCAGATGCGCTGCCCAGCTTCCTGATAATTGGGGCACACGGCAGCGGTACTCGGTATTGGTGAGTACCGGGAAAAAAATATTGATACTTGTACTCGATACAGAAAAAACGGTATCCATAATATATACATTAGATAATGGGAAGCCGGCCTTACTCATGAGATGTCACAAAGTATTTGGTCACAGCTGGATTTGGAAAAGGCTCTCCATGCTCTCCGGGCAAATCTTCAACCTTCCAGCGATCACCACCATTTTCATCTATGGTCCAGTGCTTGAAATCCTCTACACCGTGGTGGGGGAGGTGGGGACAAATATAAAAGAGGCAGATAGTTTAGACAACACGCAAAATTTCATTATCAGATAGAGGGGTCTACTTATATACAATTGCAGAACCCATTCACCCTGCAGATCTCTGTGAATATTGTTCATTCTATGCGAATTATGGCAAAAATGAACGTTCTTAGTAAATTTTCTTGTAATGTGATGTAATCCCTCAATGCAGCCACTAGATGGAGCTGAGGAGCACAGGAAAGAAGTGGTACAGTACATACAGTATTATGTATACATTGAACCTGAAATGATCTTTCTCCTTTGCTTCTGAGCTCCATCTAGTGGTCATAATGCCGTATTACATTACATTACATTGGACCTGATAAGAAAACATACCAAGAACATTTGTTTTTGCCTCCATTCACACAGAACAAACATTTACAGAGACCCGCAGGGTGCATGGCTCTGTGACATGTTTATAAATCGACCCCATTGTGTTCAGTTTCTGCCAAGTTTGTCAGTACCCAGATCAATTTTGTGATTTGAAATAAATTGTAGCCACAGACAGTGTGGGGAATTAATATTATAGCGGAATTCGGCTGATCCTTCGGCTCTTTCTTCTGCCGCTGGAGCCCTTCGGTTCAGTCGAAACAAAGGGCTGCTGTACGGGGTATTCCCTATAGCCCGTAACGCAGCGGAAGCTGGCGAATGGCCTGCCAAAGGGCTGGCAGTTCGCCACGCAAATGACAGCTGGGCGGAGCCAGCCGTGATCTCATGGCTCGCTCTCCCCAGTTGTAATGACAGATCAGCGTCCCCAAATGACCTGGGGATGCTGATCTGTCATTAAACAATAACAACTGGGCGGAGCTGGCTGTGACATCACAGCCATCTCCGCCCAGTTGTTATTCATTGGCAGGGACATGCTAGAGATTCTAACAGGTGCCGGCCAATAGGAAACAGTTGGGAGGAGCTAGCTGTCACTGCTTTTTAAAAAAAAAAACTTTATTTTTTTAGACTTAACATTTAGTTAAATTTTTTAAAATATTTTTTCAACTTCTTTTTTTTCCTACTTTTTTCACCATTTTCTATCCTGCTCGGTGCCACGGAGGTACCGAGCAGAATAGCCGAACCGAATGCCGCTCTGCAGCATTCAGCTATACACTCACTGCCGTTCGGCGCCTATGTGCATAGGGGCGAACGGAAGCGAGTGAGCTGCCGGAGCTTCGGCTCAGCCGACCCAGATGTTGGATCGGCTGAGTTGAGGTCCTTCTGCACTTTGGCTCAGCCGAACATACAGAGCATGTTCGGCTGACCGAAGTGCAGCCGATGTACGGCTGAAATCAGCCGTAGTGAATAGCCAAGCGTTGTTAGGCTCACTTCACTTCGGCTCGGTTGCTCACCCGGCCGCCTTCGGCAGCTTTGTGAATAACCCCCTAAGAATGTTTGTTTTTGTCTCTATTTGTTCAGAGACTCGCCAGGCACATGGGTCTGAGAATTGTTTGTAAATAGACCCATTCATGTTGTTAAAGGAGAACTATGGGGTCAGTGTTTTTCCCCATAGTTCTCCTAAGGGTCACGGGAGGACACAAACTAGCGTCCTCCCGTCACCCAAAGCTCAGTATATCGCGAGCTACAGCTCATTATATACTGAGACACCGCAGCCGGGACGGATCCCGACATCACTGTCGATGATTGACAGCTGGCTCTGCCTATCTAGAGGCAGAGCTAGCTGTGCCCACCCCCTCCCCCGTTCGTTCCGTCAGTCAGCGCTGGAGGATCGGAGCGGGGAAGGGAGAATCCCTGCAGGGAGCCGTGAGTGACAGTCACGGCTCTCTGCAGGGATAGATCGAGAAGTGAGCGAGCGACGGTATGTGCTCTCTCACTTCCCGATCTATTGAGCCGACGTGTAACAGTCTCATTGTCACAGGTCGGCTCGAACTATGAGGCTGAGTGAAAATCACTCGCCTCATAGTTCTCCTTTAATAATATTCTCCAACATTGTATAATAATATTGCTCAAAGATGTCTAATATGTTTCATTATTATCGGAAATTCTAACAATTCTGTATAAATAAGCATAATTGTTCCTCTTAGAATGATAATAACAATAAATTATTAATAATAATGATATATTGCTCACCCAGAGCACATGGATTTTTGATCAGGTTCATCTTCAGGCTAGACAGAGGACAATTATTCTTTTTAGTAATAGATTAAAATAATTTATCAGATAATAATAAAATCCAAAAGATTGCAAGAAACACAAAACACAAAACTACTTAAAGTGGCATTAATGTCAAACTCCCCCCCCCCCCCACTTTAAAAAATGATGTCTCTCAATCCGATCTTCTTCTTCGTTACTGTCCTTGTCAGCCTTCTCTCCAGTGCTGGTGCGGGTCTCCGATCCAGCGCTGACTCCTCTGTCCTCTTCTCTCCCACGGTGTCTGTGCGGGTGCACGCTGCTCCAGAGACTTACCTTGTCTCCCGGCCGAATATCTGAACTGCGCATGCACCCGCCCCAAGATCCTTTGCGGCCGCCCGAGAAATTTTCAGATGTTCGGACAGGAGCGCGCAGCGGAGACACAGGTAAGTATTAACCCTTTGAAAAAGTTTTTTTTTCTTCTTTTTTAATCGTTCTGCATATATCTACTGCTTGCTAGCCTTATACATATATATACACTGAGTGGCCAGATTATTATATACACTGAGTGGCCGGATTATTATATACACTGAGTGGCCGGATTATTATATACACCGAGTGGCCGGATTATTATGACCACCTGACGTTTGTAGGCAAATTATCTATAATTTGGCGCTGAAGTTGCTAGAGGGCCAGACCATTATAAATAGGGAAGCGGGTTGGTTACCACGACAGTAGAAGTGATTTGTCTCTGAAGATATGGGGAAACAACGCGATGTAACAGCCTTTGAACGCGGGATGATTGTTGGCGCTCGGAGCCATGGAGCGAGTATCAGCAAAACAGCAGAATTCGTTAAATGTTCAAGAGCAGCTGTTGTTAAAGTGTTTAAAGACCGGACTGTCAGCCGAAAATCTGGGTCTGAACGTGCGAATTGTGGCCGTCAGCAACTAGTCAATGTTAGGGCAGAATGGGGGAGGGGCAAGACTGGTACAAGACAACAGAAGGGCGACAGTGCCGTGTCAGATTCCTCGCATCACCTTTCAACATCTCGTGGAGTCACAAGACGGCCCAACCAAGTACTGATGGGGTGGTCATAATAATCTGGCCACTGAGTGTATATATATATATATGCAAAAACATGCCAGGGTTTAATAACCATTTAAATACTGTATCTACTGAACCCTTGCTGGCCATAGGGATGAACGAAGTTGGTCAATTTCACTTTGCTGAAATTTCTGCCAAATTTCTGCCAAATAGGGACGGTGCTTCGGTTCCAGGTAGATGAAAGTGTTTTATAATGCTGTTAAGGGCTATAATTGCTCTAAAGTTTCCTCTTTT